TTTGCGTATTATTTCGACAGTGGATCAACACCACCAACGCAGTCTGAGCTGAGGCGACTTCTAGCTGAAGGTTTCATGGCTCACGAGGCAACCGAATGTACCGTCAAGCCAGAAGCCATAGAGCTCAACGGCAAGCTTCAGCTGCGGTGTAGCGATTGCGGATTCCAGACAGTGATCATTTAACATCACACCTCGCCATGTCTCTGTATAGTTTTTCTTGATTGAAGCTTATAGGTTTCTTGGCGCTATTCCAATACAAGAACTCCAAAACTTCAGAAGAAATTCCCGTGAAAATTTGTCTATAGGGCTATCGATGTTCTGATCACGAAAATGACATTCGTTTTGGTGCCCATTTGGCGCTGCACTTTTATTATTTTTTGTTTAAAGTGATATGTAGGGATTGGTTCAGTGCCGATCAGGAAATTTACCCTAAAATCCCATAGATAAGAGCGGTTTAATTTACCGGTGAAAAATGAATTGGAATGAAATTGAAATTGAATGCAGTCACCCCTCTAACTTGATGGATGGATAAATAAAAATCGGAGAAGAAGTTTAGAAGAAGCTCCGTCCCCTCAACTCTAAACCCCGCCCACTTAATAAACAATTCATATAGAAAAATAGCGATTTTAACGGAATTTCTGCCGGAATCTCTCTAGAAATGCCGGAATTTGATCTCTGGATAGAACTTGAAGAGCCCATTCGATCAGTAAAATTCCATAGATAAGAGCGGTTTAATTTACCGGTAAAAAATGATTTTGAAAAAATATTTTTATTTTTATTTTATTTTTGAAAAAATATCTATGGACCGCTCTTATCTATGGGATTTTAGGGTACGTTCATTTTTCGAAGGCAAAGCCACTCGGCACCGTTAGGCTCCAAATTTGCGTCAGCATTGAATGTCGCATTCGTGGCCAGGGTACTAAATCACTTCAGGTGGAGTTTGAGAGCAAAGTTTCTTGTTGAGGTTTTGGGATTCCAGACTGGTGTACGTTGCCATTTTTCTAGTGATCTAGGATATTCGCTGTAGGTTCACTGGTATCACCGACGTATCTACTCATGCGCCTTCTATGATCATCTGCCGGTCTGATAATGTGTAATTTTAAATCACATGTCGTCTCTATGTAAGTAGCCGTGCTGCTACGAACGCCTCCTCTTTTTCTTTGATGTCGACTTTAAGCTGTGCCAGCTTATCGATCCAAATCCGATAGTTTCTTTGTGTTTGTATATTGTGGAAATTCGAGCTGCACTGTCGTTCTTTGTAGATAAATTTCAGAAATGTTTCTTGGAAATGTTTTTCCTTTTCAAGGATACGTATGATTTGTATCACTTACACGATCACTTGCGGTGGCAAGTCCGTAGGCTTACTGAGAAAAGGTGAAAGACTTGTCTATAAAAGCGAACATGCGCTATCTTCCGTACAGGTTGAACTTGCTCCTTGGCAAGTTAATATTCTTGACCTATTAGGAGTTTCGATGGTCTGATAATTGTTTTGTTTTCATCTTAATTGTTTTATATGTACAAGAGTTGATTGCTATGTGGGTTGGGGGAAAGACCACGGGCTGCGCGGCATGTTTGCGTTCTTCGGGAAATCCGTGAGCCAGGGACAGTGTAGGCAGGTATGAAGTCATCTAGGGTTGTTTTGGGTTACTTTGCAGTTTTTATATAGATCCACCTGTCACATAATCTTGAGCACGCTTAAAAACGTGTCGAAGACTTGACATCAGTACGACCCCCGCTCCCTCAGATCGGGGTCTTGATACGACCCCCGTGAATAAGCGAGTTCCATCGGTGTACATCAAAGCATTCAGTTGCAGCGCGGTTTATTCGTGGGTCAGCATTCGCCGACCCTGAGTTATGGTTGTACACACCCACACGGCCTAACGAAGGAAGTGGACATCACGGTTGGGGTGCACCAAGGGTCAGCTCTGAGCCCGTTCCTCTTCCTCCTGACACTAGATGTCCTGGTGAAGGGGCTCATGGAAGGACCACTGAAGACCATCCTCTACGCTGACGACATCGCCCTGATAGCGGATAGTAGAGAGGAACTTCAAGCCAAGGTGCAGAATGGCAGAAGTCCTGGCAGAAGGCGGGCTCCGGCTGAATGTCAAGAAGACCAAGTTCCTGAGCTCCGAAGAGGGTGCAGAGCCGATCGTAGGACGGCCATGGTGAGACCATCGAAAGAGTGGAGGACTTCCGATACCTTGGGAGCGATCTGGCAGCCGACGGTAGTGTGGATCAGGCGGTGAAGGCTCGGGTCAACGCTGCATGGATGAAATGGAGGGAGTCCACTGGAATCCTCTGCGATCGAAGGTGCTCCAGAGCGCTCAAAGGGAAGGTGTACCGAACAGTGGTAAGGCCTGCGATGCTCTACGGCAGCGAGTGCTGGCCCCTGAACAAGAATCACGAAAGGCAGCTTCACTCCGCTGAGATGAGGATGCTGAGGTGGGCCTGCGGCTGGACGCGACTGGACAGGGTCAGAAACGAGGATGTCAGAGCGGTCATGCAGACTGCCCCTGTCCAGCTGAAGGTGAGGGAACAGCGTCTGCGATGGTATGGGCACGTGCTAAGGAGGCCACAGGATCATCCGATAAGAACAGCAATGGACTTCGAAGCGCAAGGCAAGCGGGGGGGGGGGGCGGCGCGAGAGCCCCAAAGAAGAGGTGGAGACGTCATCAAGAAGGACCTCACTGAAGGTCAGGCCACAGCAGAAGATGCCCTGGATAGAACAACATGGCGACGGCTGGCAAAGACAGCGGACCCTGCGACTGCGCTGGACTAACACTAGGGAGAAGAAGAAGACTTTCAATAATTATTTTTCGAAGTAGAGGGACGGAAGACGAATTGTGCAAATAACATTTTATATCATGTTCTCTCACATATCCTTGTTAGTTGCCGCGCTATACCCTCTCCCTCCTAACTGCACAATGATGTCACAGATGTGCTCGTCACTGACCACCACGAGTACGACCCCCATGACCAGTCCTGGCAATACGACGCCCAGTTGAGACTCTACCCGACCATTTACTCTATCCTGAGCTGAATCTTGCACTACATTTCATAATCTGTCATCTTGAACGTCACTATGTGGCTTTAAAGGCAAATTCCGCGCTCAGACCAACCTAATAAGCCCTTAGAGTGGCTAGAAGTGCATGGGACGCAAGTGCAGACGACCCTCCACGTTCCCGCATCGAAATGCGTCGCTAAGGCGCTAGGCGCTAAGGATTGTGGCAGACTCCACCATTAGTGTCATGACCCGCCCACCACCCGAGCGTGGGCGAAACCGCGGAATTCGTCCACATTGTGGCTTGGTGTCGTAGGATCTTACTGATTTCGATTGACTGTTTGTATGAGTTTAATCACTTTCTGAGACTATTTTTAGTTTTTAATTTTGGTTTGCTCATTCACCAACTTTTCTGGACTGTTTTTCTGTGTTTGTTTTTCTAATCCCCCTTTTTATAGCTATCTTTTTAAGCAAATGTGAGCAGGTGCTTGGAAAGGAAAGCTATCACGCATCGTTTGCTGTGGAAGATGAATAGCTCGGGTATTACTGTTTGCATTTTTCTTGCAGTGGTGTTTCGCCATTTTATAATATATACTTATCCCTCTTTTAGTGATCTGTTGCCAAAACCGGATTTATTGAGATACCAAGTTTTTGTTTTTGTGGATGAGATTGAACCAAAGATGGACTACGGAAGAACTGTTTGATTCACATAGTATTTGAGTTTTTTGACCGCAACTACCGTTTATTCGGATTTAATAGTTTCAGTTTTCGGCAATGTAACGAAATCAAATGGAATACGATTTAAATTCTATGCCATTTATGACAAAAGCCACTTTTCCTCGTTTTACTTGAGTGGATCTTCACTTGCTGTTTATAGCATAGTTCAGTCAATTTGAAGATATCGTTCCAGAATGAGATGCGCTGGAAGTATATCGATGGCTGAGGCAAGAAGAATTTTCACGGCACGCTAAGCTCAGTCAGGGTTAGTGATGGAATTTTTCCCACTTTAATCTATTTTAATTGTTGCTTTGACATAATTTCGTTTTGTCATATATTCAACATTCCTGTTTGTGCAATCCTAGTTGGTTGCGCACGGATCACGCACGCAGGTTCAACCGTGTGTAGCTATAGCATACGATAGCTTTTCTTCGAAAGCTGAGAAATGGGAACTTTCCTACTTTTATAAAGACTTTGACACATTGACGACAGTGAGGCGCGGTTGCGCGTCTCAATTTTATCCGAAACTGGCTCATTTTTTTGAGATTTATCTGGTATTTTTCATATTCAGAAGTGTGCATGCATTATCTCGCCCTCTCTCGCCTCTCGCTGTGCATCAATCACCAGTAGTGAAATTATTGAAAAAGTTTTGATGATTGTGAAAAAACAATCAAAAAGGTGCTCAGGTGCACGCACAAGGGACTGGCGTCAATGTGTTAAAGAATCGATCCGCTAAATACGTAGCACTTCTACTTGGTTAGGTATAATAAAGCTGAAATTCCTCTAAAAGAATCTGATTCCTTGTTCTCACTAGAATAAAAGGACCATCCTTGGGACCTCTACAAATTGGGACTGGTATTTCAGCTTACGAGCCTCCCTCTCATTTCATTGGTAAAATGCGACCCTTTCTTGATCTTTGCGCGACAGGCGTTTGCCCCTGCTTGCAGATGGCAGATGCCCTGAGACGTTGCTCGAGGCACATTGCGCCCTCTCCGCTGTGTTGCATGTAATTGCGGCACAAGAAGCCCCTGAGGGGCCGCATTCCTTCCCCCAGGAAGCGTCCCCCTCCTCTGGTTCAATCCTTCGGGGGAGACAGAAAGAGGGTTGCGTCATAGGACCGTCACACCTCTGTGTCTTTATCTGTCAGACAGGTAGAGCAGCGCGACTCTCCAGAATCAGAGGAGGGGGACACATCCCCTAGGGGAAGTTCTGAATACCGCCCCAGGACAATTTTACAGGCGCTCGCATTTCTTTTGAATATTGTTTAGTTTTTTTTTTCAGAAGGCTTTACATATACGACTGCGGCTTCAACTCGATTGGCGGTGAAGTGGTAAGTCCGTTCAACGACAACTCGCACTGGTTACCAGTCAAAAGTAGTCAGGTACTTTGCCATTTATCTAGTTCTGACTCTGTTTCGCCCTCAGTCTGATTCTTCTCTGTAAGTGCCTTTCTTCCTTTTATACACTTCCTTCCTAATAATCTTGTTGCGCCTCGTGCATCATGTAATACGTTTAAGGCTGGACATTTCTCCCCGAATTCGTGGATTTCAGAACCGCGAATGGAGCAATGTATTCCGAGGTTTGACTTTCCTAAGATATTGCATTCGCTTTCTGCTCCGATTCCCAACCCACTTTTTGTTTTGCCTAAGACGAACATGAAATTTGCAGTAATTGTATGTCTAACTGTTTGAAGAATGTTGCAGGATTCTAAGGCTTCAAAAGGCTTTGAATTGACAAAATGGCGAAAGGAGAGGGCTTCAAAATGAGGATACGTTTATTGGGTACAATTCGCACCTCACCCCTTAGGTAAGTGCAATATTTTAGATCATTATTTCAAGCTAAACCGTACCAATGCATTTTATGGTGAACTTTCATACTATAACCTATTATGCATCTATCTTGCGTAGAAGTACGATTTGACGTGTTTTAGGTCCTTAGTGTTCAAGTTTCCTCACGCTTTCGTGGTAACCGCCTGCAAGCAAATTGATGAAACTGAAGAGTTTCTTGTACGATTTGTCAGGGAGAGGAGACTATAGTTTGATTATGTTGACGATACTACCATTGTCAATGTTATTCTTTGTTGTTTTTTCTATGTTTTCGTTTCTAATAAAGCACGAAACGTTATCAGGACAATGTTACACTTTCACTACGCCGGAATATACACCCTGGAAAATGCAAGACAATGGGGTTCTGCGTTCAGATGCGCACTCTTTTCCTTCAATTAGAAGCAATTGTAAAGCAAATGACAAGTTCGTTTTCTGTCTTGCTAGTGGGATGGCAAACGTTCGTTGCAATGGTCTTCAAAGTTTGAGTATCTACAATGCCGCTTTTTTTCATGCTCATGACGTTGACACACAGAATGGAATGAGGGATTGCGTTGATTGCGGTGGAGATAACGGGCCTTGGTCTCGGAGCAATCCAGTCGCAAAACCAACGTCGCCGCACAAAACTCGGTCTGTATTGTTAGGGTTGCACCGTGAGGAGGGGAAATAAAAACGGTATTTTGTCCCCGCTTACGAATGGGCCCAATCACATTTTGGTCAATTCAAATTTGGAAAGCACATTCCATTTTGCGAGGAAAGAAAACTGCATGATGGCCTTCTACGTGGATGACATCAGGAAAATCTGTCACGAAAACATGGTGCATTGGTCGAGCTCAAGGGGTTCTCGACTAATCATGTTTCTGGAATTCTGCTTGGAAGGGTTTGTTTCGGACAGTAACGGATTTTAGGAAACCATGTCATACAGCGAATGCATTCAAAATCATGTAAAAGCAGTAGGGTCGAGCAACTACGGCTCCTCTAGCTTTACAATGATGGCAGGCAGCTCTCAAGACGGCGAGGGCAGCGAAGAGGGTGGGCGTGCACTACAGAAAGACGTTTGAGGGATATTTTGTATGAGACTCCCGTCAGCGGAGGCATTCTTTGCGACGAAAAAATCGCGGAGGTGCGACATTGGCAAAGCGACTATTTTTGCATCGTTACCTGTACAAACGAAATAATACGTATTTGCCTAGTCACGTGAGTCACACCATTTCCTCGATCACTCAGGCAAATGCAATGACAATGCACTAAGCACTCCACTCATTCAAAGTAAACGTTTAAAAATAGGTTGGATATTGAAAAAACTAAAATTCGAGGAATACTACGAGGATACTCTACCCACTACAACCCAACTAAAACTAGCAGATATCAGCTGATCTCGGTGCAGTGATTGCGTGTTCGCTGCCGGACGGGAGTCAGCAGTGGTTAGCCTGCGCGGGAAACTCGTCCGCACACGTCCTCCCTCTAAGGCAGCCTCGTCGGCCACTGTTGAAGAGGGGGTTATATTTCTGTTCTCTCAGGGACTTCTCTTCGTTTTTTTCTATACCAGCGTTGCACTTCCCGGCCCTACACTCATTTTTGAGTGCAAAAAATATGCGGAATCGATCCCGGGTTTTGCCTTTAATCGTGTCAACATTTTGCGATCAGTAGCTAGCGAATTGCTTGACTCGTTTGCTCGAGGAATAGGAGCGGCGTCAGCATTTCATGGCTCCAATTGTTGTTTCCATACTGTTATAGCAGTTAGTAATACAAACCTGTTCATTATTATTGGTGTTCAAAGGCGATTGTGCTGTTAGTTCGGGGCTGTTGTGTCCACGATCCCGGCCATATCGCACTGTTACAACTCTTGTAGAAGTGACATGGGTCGAAGGAGTTTTCTTCGCTGAAGACTCTTTCCCAGAGGAGTTATTCAGGCTCCTGATCAGGACTAGGCCATCTATTTTTGACGTCGGCCTCACCTGGAGCCAGATGGCGTCATTGCTGAAAATGGATTTCATATTCGTGATCGGGACACCACATAGCTTTTACACACAAGCTTACACCGAAATGGTGATAACAGCTGTCGTGACAAAGTGGCGCCAACTGTAGTTAGCTAATCATGATGCCATATGTATAACCAGGAGCCTTGATAGTAAGAGTTTGCGAAAAACTACTCATCTCACACCCGACTGCAAGTAGTAATGAATGTTTCACAGTAGGACCCCTCGTACTGCTGATATTACACCTCTGTTGCTGGTTTCTGCTGTTTATAATAGCGGTATTTCTGATTATTATGCGTGCTGGTTTTGTGCAGATGAATACGGCCGCGTAGCAACAGAATCGTCCGGAGACCCGCGCTTGCGGTCGCGGCCGCGACGCGCAACTGTAGTGGACGAGTTGAGCGTCATTCGATTGAGATGCAGGACGCTATAACCGAGTCTCTCCCTTTTCTTCGTAGAAGGTTCACCGTGGTGCTAAATTTTGTGTGCTCAGTGCTACAATGTCCCTTCTCCCTCCAAGTTGATATTTGTCCAACCGGTTGAAGTTGATTGTAAGATTGTAGTTGAAGTTGATGGGGCAGAGCCAAAAGGGTTAATGTGGACCGCAACAAATCTGTCGCTCCAATCGACAAAGTCAATTAATCTCGGGCCCATCGAAAAAGTGCCGCATTACGGCGCCGCGCAAGTAACCGCGAGCGACGGCGCTACTCCCGACGATTCGTTGCAAGCTCCCGATGAATAAGCATGTCGCCTCTGATTCTACATTTGTTGAACAGATGTAATATCCATATCAGGCCAGCATACAGCAGCAAGCGTTGCAGAATATGTTATTTTTTCTCCTAACCGAGGCTATTTCACACG